CCGCTGGACGTCGGTCTGGAGGTCGACCTGAACCAGGAACAGATGAAACCTTCACTACCGTCTGACTCTTGCATTATGAAACCATTTCAGGTGATCTAACTGGCATGCGTTATATAAACTTGCTCTGTTATTCTTATTTTCTATTCAGTTTGGTGATATTATTGGTAAATTTTAAAGAAACAATGGCTAAATCTCAGGAGCAAAGGCTTTGTCTTATGCAGAAGGTCTACAATAATGGAAAACAGCACATTTCTCTGGTCAGATTCACTTTAATTAGAGGAAAATGCATTTTTGCACTTTTGGCACCACTGTGCTGAAATCCCATTTCCTCCTAGCACACTACTCACTAAAACCTTTGTGGAACAAACATGCTTCAAGTTATTCAGTCTAAATTTGTTTGAATTATAGTCAAGATGTGGATCTATTAAGTCTGATGGTTCATTCAGAGTTTCTAATAGGCTACCATGGTGTTTTGCAGTCTTTAATTGGAGAAAAATTAAATGTTTTCTTTGTTTAATCACCTATAAATCAAACATGGTGACATTTAAATTAGTGGTTCCACCTGTAAAATATTCCTCAATGCTTTTCTGTTATACAAATACAAACTATTATATTTCCAATTTATAGTTTGGGAGCAGAACTTGCTTTGATTCACATTTCTAAATCAAGCGGAATTTGCTCCTAAGACCCTCCGGGCTTAAAGTTGAAACCACTATGGGGACGTTTTTTTTTGTTTGTTTTTTTTAAACCTCATTAGACTTTGAGGGCCATTTAGAGACAAAAAAATAAAAATTGGAATTAAAAATTTTGAATTTAGAGTGGCATATTTACACTGAAAAAAATAATGCACCCATTTTTGGCGTTTATCTCCTACCCTGCTAACATGAAGCAATTGTGTTAAAGTAACTAAATATGATCAAGTAAATAACCAAAAAACGGGTGCATTATTTTTTCAGTGTATGAGGCTTTTGGATTTTGAGGCTTCTGCAGATCTCTGCCCAGGTCCCCTTTGAAAATGAGATCCAGATCTCAATGGGGTTTACCTGGTTAAATAAAGGAAATAAAAAAAATTAATGAATAAAAAATAGTGGCTTTTTGGACAGTAGGCTGACAGGAAAGGGGGGATGAGAGAGGCAGAGAAACATGCGGCAAAGGACCAGATGTCAGGTTCGAACCCGGGTCGGACACGTCGAGAATAAAGGCGTCTGTACATGGGTCGTGTGAGCTAACCTGTGGCACCAGAGCACGCCGTAAGCATGCAAAATTAAAAGAATCTAAGCGTACAAATTTAGAAGAAAATTTTGTACATTTACGAGATTATAAACATGCATACTTATGTATCGTTCATTTTTAATTTAAAGGAAAAGTCCGCTCATATT